CTAGGATCATCTGAACAATGTTCTCACAGAGTCTCATTTGAGCTTCATCTGATTGTTTCTGTTGTATTCAAGCACTTGGTATGTAGAAGGCAGCTTCCAACATAACTGCGTAATTTTTCTGTACTTAATATATCTACCAGGGAATTTCTAAGTGGAATTCCGCCCGTCACCTGATTTCTTTTCTTTCTCGTAGGTTAGATGTCTTTAAACGCTATTGATCAGGTTGTAAATGTTTCCCCGTAATACTTATAATTGTGACACGTTTAACGTCGAGATGAAGCATCCTAATTTTCGGTTCTCTTATTGCTAGATCTGCAGTTTATAGGCCTTGCGCAACGACTTTCGAAACCAACCTCTATAAGGACTATCCTATAGGTGGGGCTTTGGTCTATTCATATATAAATAAGTATTTCATCCTTTAGGTTATGAGACGTAAATCTATGAACTGCATTCAACCTAAAGGTTGTACTTAGACAAATAAATTTCCTTCAGATAATTAGATATTGAAGATCATTTATTTACAGAATAAACTAAAACTATGCTATCGCAGGATGAGATCACCATATCTCAGATTATCGACAAGTTGCAATTCATATAATCCAATGTAATTCAGTTATCCGGCACAGTCTTATGCGCTGGGTAATTAGTCACTCTCAGTATGCTGAAGATTACCATATTACCCCAATACTTGGCGAGATATTCCTGGAGTGGATTTTGAATTTGGACTAGTGTATAAAGGATAAATGCTTATATTAGTGAGCCGTAATACATTAATGTAACTATAACGGCAGAAGACGTGACTATATGACAACGGATCTATTGACTGGCAATCTTATACGCAGATATAGGCAAAATACATCTATATTAGAACATAATGGAATCAAAGCTTGCATATATCTTCATCAGTCTGCTTCTTCGTCTTCCTTTCATGTTTTTTATGTTGTTTCATAAGCATAGTTCATTAAATCCACTTCTCTACCATTCAATATTCGTGCTGCTGACATATATATTTATTTCTGCATCCATACACTACTTATAAATATTGTTAGTAGTATACGCCACATAACAAAAAATATTGAGTATGAAGACTTGAGTATAAAACTTGGGAACTGTGGTAGAGTATAACTCCATTATAGATAAGATTTAATTTTGATAAATCACACAGTGTTACACAGTAATATTAACTGATGACAACGATTCGAACACAAGTTCTCACCGCTCAAAATCATATCAAGACACTACACACACAACTTTTTTCCTTCATTTATATACATGTGTGGAATCGACTAGATATTTGAAAAAAAAATCAATATAGGATAATGTACATTCAGAAATAATAACAATATGAGTGCTATTCATCAAATACAGTCAGATGGAAAATAAGACGAGTGTTTTTATAGTCATAATAAGTAACTTGTTAGAATGTTGTGATGTACTTGAATTGAAATAGAATTTTGAGATTATTTATTATCCTCTTCTGATTTGACTGTCTGGTGATAATAATATCTTCCATGCATATCTCTGGTATTTGCATTCAGTCATTTCTGTTGCATGTGTTGTGTTGGCTGTAGACTCGATGAACGAGGCAGGATTCAGTGATCAATCTCTCTCTCTCCATTCACATAGATTACTGCTTAGAATCTTAACCCTCTCCTAACCTATTGTGTGGTTGTTTGTTAATGCATGCAGTGCAATTCCTGAGCTTTTTTCTAAATTACTTATCTTCCTGGGGTCAATCATCTTATCATAGCCACTAAATTCTTATGTTCCGACAATCTGACTGTTCCCGATCTACTACTGTGACCTATGTAGTTGACCTGACTCACAGTCATTTCAGGGTATTTTGTAAATTATATTATTTTGTTTAATTGGGTTCACCGGGTCTTTTAGCCTACAAAGCTTGCCCTACCTGAATGAGTTTGTAGGTTTGAATACCACTCTAATACCTGCCTTATTAAGAATCCTATGTGGGGAGCATTTCAGATGTCCCCTCTTTATTTAGTATAGCAGTGGATTACTTATATTCTCTCTTATTTATGTTATCATTACTAATTTCATAATTAATTTTACTTTGACCTTTTTCTATCTTCCTAATTAATTTTATAGGATAGTTAATTATCTAACACCAAAGTCTTTTCTATCTGTTTTATTTCGTCATTTAGGTCTTCTTTTGTGCTACTTAATGCCACTGCTCGGTTTGTTAAACACTTAACTAAGCCTGCCTTAACAGACAGACAACGGATGGGATGAATTAAAGTCTAAATATCTATTAGAATGCGTTGGTTTTTTATAAACGCTAGTGTGTAGTTTACCTTCTTACGTTCGTCTTATTTTACAATATAACATAGCTAATTCTCCCTGTTCACTTTCCGATTCAAATATGTGTTTTATTCCCTCAACTATTACTGTATAACGCCACTGTGTGATTTTATCAAAATAAAATCTTCTCCATAATGGAATATGAAGACTTCACTATTCCCTTAAAAGCATGCGAGATCCACAAAATATCAGAATGAAAGAGTAGCAGTCAGGTATTGTTTAGTAAACACTTCAATAAGACAGATGACCTTTTGCTACAAATCTTTTGCACAGATAATAGAGCTAACTAGAGCTAAGAATGAGAACTCGAAAATATCCCAGCAAATAAAAACGCAACCTGAACCGTAAATCACTGGATGAATGAAAGATTTTAACTCAAACAGGTGTTCTGCACACTTCATTTCATAAGAGGAACACACAATGCATTAATTATTCACTTGTGAGTTATCATTCTAATTACCCATGCATTGTTTAAAATAACAAGTTACTACATACAAAATACATTACTAATTTTACAAATATTATGATATATATCCAATCCTACAATTGACAAACAACCAAATGCCTAAACTTAAGGTATTTATTATTATTTCCTTTAATTCCTAGAGGAACATTGGGCTTCAGCTGCACGTCTCCATTGCGTTCGGTTCTCTGCTAAAGTTTTCACCTGGCTCGACGTCTGACCACATGCTTTCATCTCCTCTTCACATGACCTCCTCCTCCAAGTCACCCTTGCAATGACGACCAACTCACCCCTTCCCTTTTGGGTTCCACTCGAGCGATGACCTGTCCTGTGATGTCACTTGATGGTTTGTTTTCTCAGAGTATGACCAATCCATCTCCATTTCTTCTTGCACAATCGATTCCTGGATGGTTTGCTTCCAGAGATCCCTATTGCTGATCTTTTCTGATCAATTAATGGGTAGAGAGGCGACTGTATAATGACAATTTTTACGATACAGCTTTTCAAATAGAAATACCCTATTTGTTTAAGTCATCCTGTGTTTCCTGTTGATCGATAGTACTAAACTGAAATTTTCGACTTCTGTTAACGCGTCAGCTCCTACGGATGTACGGATGTTTCGACGATGTCCCAGGATTAACGTAGTCTTATTTGATGCATGGTGACTAACAGTAGAATCCAAGACGTGCATCACCTCCTATTTGGAACTCGTCAGATGGATGTACTTGTATCCCCATTGAGACTCGAACTCACTCAGTATCACTCCTTTCAAATGCCGAAGCTTTAGCCGCTAGGTCATGGGGCCACGATAAGACTTTGGAACATCCTCATTTACTAGAGATGAAGGTGAGTCTGGATGACAAGTCCTGAATGGGACGAAATATACATCCTGAATCCCGTTGCTAGCCATCATCAACCACATAAAAATACCTTATTTTTCAGTTCATCCAGCTGGTAATGTCTTAAACATTGTATTAAGAGCTACATTGTAAAGAAAAAAAGGCCAAGGAGGTTCGAAGGCAATGGTCTACTAGGAAACAAACGCATTGCAGATAGATCAATTTAGTATACCTCATCTTTAAGTTTTTATTTGCACATCATTTGTAAGTTGGACGTATATCACCACATTCGATAGTTTGCTGGATTCTGTGCAGTGTTGTAACATTCTTCTCACAGTTCTCTTTTTTCAAATGCCTTTTCCAGTGTCGGAAACATATTGTTACTTTTCTGAATTCATTTACTGGCATACTACTTATATCTGATTATAAGTAGCACTCACCATAATATGACACATATTATCAACATGACAGAATTTACTTTCATACAATGATTCCCTTTTATAAATTTGAACAAAGAAAGAAGAAACATTGGTGCATAATAATCTAGATCAATTCTGTTTCGCTGGTTCTCATCAGCTGCGTAAAACCTGAATTTTTTAATAAAAAATAAAAAGTATACAATTTTAACAAACCTTTGTCCATTAGCAAGCATATTGTCAGAGCGTCATAGTGAAATAAGGCGTTGCGATTTAAAAGGTATCTAAAGTGTTACCACATATATATATCTTGTTGGAGGGAAGTTTCTTGAAAAAAAAATTGTGTATACCAATTCACATGTATCTGCGGGAGCAGCTACATTGGAAGAACAGAGAGGAGGGCCTACGTCACATTCTGCGAACATGTACCAAGGAGCATCCAGTTAAAGGGACAGAATTGTTTAGGCTCTTCAATCGCCAAACACCTGATTGACACAGGACACCGAGTAGATGTGCTGGAATCATTCAAAATAATTAACAGACAAGTTAACAGAATTCAAGTCTTCTCAGGTTTGCTGAAGCTATAGCAATAAAACCATTGAAGCCTGACTTATGTGTTCAAAAATAAATAATCCGTTGTTGGACTTCAATTACCCTGGTGACTCACTTCTTAGTAACTCTTTGTTTTCTAATCTTGTTAACTAATCTTTTCACTCCCCTCTCCCTTTATTTTTCGATGAATCTCTTAAGAGACAATGTTTTTGTTGGTCTTCTGAGTTCTGTTCACTGTATTACGTCATCAACTTCTCATATGTGATTTTCTCTTATCTAATTACGTAACTATTACTAATTTTCTTTTGTTACCACCCCAACAACACAACTGTTAATTAATTTTTTCAAGAAGCTTCTTTCCAACAAGATATACATATGTCGTAACACTTTAGACACCTTGTAAATCGCAACGCCTTATTTTATTATGACGCTCTGACAATATGCTTGCTAATGGACAAAGTGTTGTTAAAATTGTACACTTTTTTAATTTATTAAAGAATTCAGGTCGTACTCAGTTGATGAGAACCAACTAGATAAAATGGATCCAGATTATTCTGCGCCAATATTTCTTCTTTTCTTTGCTCAGAATTTACATTCATTTGTTGTTGTTTTTTTTGACAATAAACCTTGTCCTTTAAGTGTATTTATGAGGGAATTCGCATCGATTGCCTCTGACATATATTTAAGACTTGAGGAAGAAATTATTATACGAGCGAGCCACTTTTGTGTCAATCATTTGATTTTTATAATCAGAAGCATAAAATGTTTGTATGAAAAAAGAAAAACAACAGCAACACAACGACAACAGAAAATTGTACAGACAGACAGACAAAACAAAAATAACTAAATTCTATATGGAAATACAAATATGCAAAGGTTATTCAGATAATCTGAAAGCGATAATGTGAATGAAATTCGTTAAAAAAGGGAAGTCATACGCAACGACATCCCTTTAGAGTATTTTATACAAAAGGATTCGGACCGCATATGTACACACATTTATTTATTTATTTATTTATTTATTCAATTCTAACTAATTTCCAGCCTTTAGGTAGAGTTGTAGCAGTCTCACTGATTAGTGAATAATCCTCGGGTGTTAATTGTAATTCCATTGTATGATACTGTCGAACAGAACTATGATGTCCAATTGAAAATGGTGTAATTTGACGTCTTGAAAGACTTGTATAGGCTTGAAATTCATCATTTGCGCTTAACTGACTTGTCGATTCATCCATGAATACAACATCAGGTTGATAAAAGCATACGGCTGCTATTGTTAACCGTTGCATTTCTCCAGGTGAATAATTGATGTGTCTAAAAACATTAATAGAGATGTTAAAAAAAGAAAAGAAAATTTTTGAAATGACAACGAACAAACGAGAAATATTCGGAAGAAAATCATTCCTATTCTGGTGGGCTTGTTGACCTATCTCAGACAATCATAAGGTTTCAGGCTAAATTTGCTTGGGTTCCCCTGTGATAAGAAAAAAATAGTATCAGTAGTAAGTTTATACTCCTGCCATCCAGCCAACAAAACCAACGATATTCGTTACAATGGATATCCTACAAGGTTTATTGAACATAACATCAAGAAAGAATCCACCCCTAGACAAATCACAGTGCCAAATAAAAAAACTGTTCATGAGTCTTGCATTCAAAGGTGACACCATTTCTGAATTGATTAAAAATCGTTTATCTAAATGTATTAAACACGCACTTTTCCTGCAGCTAACTTGCAACTAGTTTTTACCAGACGAAATATGATGATTAGACAATGCGCGTCAATGGATAGATTACCGCTTATGTCCACATCTATGTTCATTTACTCTTTTACCTGCTCCTGTGGGGCTGATTATATTGGACATTGTAAGCGTGTAGCTGAACACTAATCAGTTTGGTTAGTGAAAGGCGAACGTCTATTTGTGATCACCTGTTAGAGTCTGGTCATTCAGCCCCGCATGATTCATCCTTCAAGGTTATCAACATGGCAAAATCGAATAACCGAAGCTTTAGCGATACATGAACAGAAACCTAAATTACGTGTTCAAAAAGGTTTTGTCAAACCCCTTTTTTATTTTATTTTACCCCTTGAATTCATTCCACTTCACCTCACATCTTTATTCTTATCCTAATCGTACTCCTAATTTTTAAAATTTTTAAACAACGCTTGACGTCATTTAAAAAAATATTTTTGATATCAATTCACTTATAAAACAATCTTTAATAATTTTGTAATCCATCCACTTCAACTCTGCCCCTTATAACATTTTAATTATCGTTATTCTTATCACTTATATGTGTATATTGACTGAGCAATTATTTAGTGCCACTTGATAACTTTTTCTGTAATATAAATACGACTGTACAGCTTGAAAATGAAGTCGTTGAAAAGAAATTTCTACACTGAACAAAAAAACTGTGTTTTTACTTATGAATAAATGGGTATTTTTTCGTGATATTCGTTACGTCAGTTATGAGAATCACTGTCACTCACTAAGCGGCACTTAAGATAACATCCATTATCGCGAATTCTAGCTTTACTTAGCCTGATAGCCGAAGTGATTATGTAAAATATTTCACTCTTATATAAAATGAATATTTGTATTAGTTGCTTAAAGTTTATTTCAATGTTTAACTTTGTCATTCATCAGTCTGTTGACACGTTCTATGACAATCATCCATTTAACATAATCGAACACAATGCAATTATGACACAAAGGTTAAATGTACTACGTGATTACTGGCCAAGTTAAAGAATAGATATCCACGAGTGCAATCGCACCAATGACCTTGAACGCATACTATTCATTGGACAATGGGACCTGCCATTATCCTAGCGTGACTATGAACGCTGTGCACGAATTAAGGTGCGAATTTTATCCAGACCTCGTTGATATCACGTAGCTGTTCTTGTGGTGCTTCTATGTACATCCAACGGTGTTTACAAGCAAGTGGTGGACACATATTGAGGTAGGAGACAAATAACTGGTCAAAATGGTAAGTGGCACACTTAATTCATTTATTTGTAGAAAATTCCGTTTCTAATTCGAAGCTGTCACTAACAAATATACTTTTCACCTATCATTAAATAGGTATTAAAGACTGAAACGAAACCAATGATTCGCACGAACGTGAAGGATAAGCTTCCACTGGGGGCCTCATCAATGTGCATCTACCAATTCACTTGCTCATGTGGAGCTAGGTATGTCGGCCGTACCCAGCGTTTGCTATCCAAACGAATCAGCGAACACTTACCTTCATGGTTTTATAAAGGAGAAAGAAGATCCCCCCCGCCACAGCTCTATCCTAGAACACTTGATCGAATCCGGACACCAAGTAAACCCACAAAACAACTTCTCAGTTATCTACACAATACGTGGGAATCTTGCCAAAAGAGTACGAATTAAACTTCTTCAAACTGCAGAAGCAATGGCAATTCACATATTGAATCCTGAACTCTGCATACAAAAGAAGTTTGTTCAGTCACTAAATCTACAATGGTCCTGATCTATCTTAACACCAAATACGTAATTTTGTCTTACCTCTTTCTTCTTTGTTTGTCCACCATTTCTAACAGATTTTTATCAACAGCTGCGCGTTCACTGGTTCCATACTGAAGACCAGATGGCCAGAAAGAATAGACAACAAGAAACTCTGGGGATGAACCAATCAAGAACCTATTGCTCAACAAATATGCTGAAGAAAACCGACATGGGTCAGGCACACACTGAGGAGATCATCGAGTAACATGCTGTGGTATCCGAATGAGAGACGACGGATTAGGTGTTTGTATGAGGGTGACACGGAAGAGATCGCGTAAGCAGGAGATGAAAGTATATAGGCAATCGCGAGGTCAGCTGAAGAAGACTGTAGAGAACAGGACGAAATGGAGATATGCTGTTGAAGCCCTATTTGCCACTCGGAACCCAATGGGATAATAATTATGACAATAATAATAATAACAATAATAATGTTAAAACATTGAAATGTTAACCTACTGATCAAATCCATAGTCTTTTCTATCCGGTGGTATAACTCGACAACCAGAATAACAAATCTCAGTTAACAAAGACGGCAGACAACTGTGATTGTATATTTTAACAATATCTTGACAATGCTTATCATCATCTTGATAGTAGGACTTTAAAATTGTTTTCAATAGACTGCATTGTTCTGCTTTGATAAGACGAAATTCTACAAGAAGATCCAAGGCTTTTTCAAACGATTCGAGATTATAATTGTTTAGTAAACATTTAGTGTTCATTGATTTTTGTGGTGAATTACAGCTGGCGTCTGTAGTGATTCAACGAGGCGAAAATATATGAAGTATAAAAGAGTAGGTATTAAAGCGTTATGACTTACCAGTAAAATAGAAAACAATCTTATGGGTTAACTGAATAACTGAAACCTTACATCAGATAGACAGAGGAACAATAGAAATGAATAAGTCTCATTACAATCTTGCAAAGCAAATTATTTATTTTATTTAACTGATTAAAAATGCCCATTGAAATTTTTAGAAGAATGGATACTGAACAAAGAGTACTCTTTTCGACAACCCCTTCATCATCAGGCTCTGCAGTTATATATCCATCCATTACAGTGAATGAATGAATTAGTGTTATGAACAACATTAATGCTGTTTAAATAACACCGAATCAATAATACTGATAGATTACAGCTAAATAGCATCAACATAAAATAAGCTGAATGTCGGAAAAATTAGGACAGATAATATCACAAATTTACGAATTTATAGTCTCTACTGAAGGCCGGCCAGAGCATTAGTAGCGGCTAGCTGGATTTGCTTCTTTTGAACACAGAGCACTGGTTGTTTGAGGCGAACTGTAAAAGCCTCTTTTATTTGAAGAAACTAAGGGGGAGCAGATATTTTCTGAAAGTTTATATGAAGAAATCAGGCCGACGGGCAAGTACACGCCAAGATTGTATGGCTTACCTAAAGTGAGTAAACCGGGGGTACCGTTAAGACCAATAATTAATACGAAAAACTCACCCTACCATGCTCTAGCTGTGATTCTCTGTACGTATACTGAAAAGTCTACGTCTCAAGGGAACAAACTCTAATAATAGTGATATTATCAGGCATCGCCTTGATACGGGTTATAAGGTGGAAATTGCGAAATCCTTTAAAATGACCAATAGACAAAGGAACGAGATTCTCCTCAAGTTCACCGAAGTAATTTCTAGCAAACACTTGAAACTCGATTTATATTGTTCAAGAAGAAGCAGTTATTAGTCTTTCCCTGCCTTGCTGCCTGGTAACTGGATGTCTTCATTCTCCCTTTCAATTGATTACGTAATCTTTGGCTTTAACCTCACCCCTCTTTGATAAAGTGTGATTTTGATTGTCTCTTGTTTCTGTAGTTTGAGCTGAACTCAGTACACTGTCACCCAATTTATTAGTTACTTATAATCTTACGCATCTCTCGTCTTTATTACGTAACTCCTTCACCATTGTGTACATATATTTACTTTCTTTAAACTTGAACTCACTGTGTAAAAGCTATGTAAGCGTAATTCTGAGCACTGTTCACTAAGTTCGGAACTTTCTGTCAACTGACATCGCGTAAAATTTGCAAGTATGTTAAAAGCTTTTCTGTACATAAACTTAATAATAATTTATTTAGGCTGTATACGCAGCTAATGAGAAGCCAACAAAATGAACAATTGGTTACAGGATTTCATCACGAGCTGAAATCAGTTAAAGAATCACTGGAAAACCTGGGAGTACTGGACAGCTGTTTCATCCTAGTTTGGAACATCTCAGCAGTACGAACCCACCGGGGTTAAACCCAGGACCTTCTGGTTACAAGGCGAGCCCATAGACCATTAAGTCACTGTGACCCGATCCAATGGTCCATGAATCCTAACTTCTGCCAATTCACGATATAGCGCAACCGCTAGCCAATATCTTCGGAGAGTACTTGTCCTCACACCCGACCTGCTGCACCCCAGGTTTTCCAGTGGTTCTCCAACCAATGTCAGCTCATGATGAAATCCTGTAACCAATCAACTAAATCCCTACAAACCAGTACTTGGAAATGAACAACCATATTGATCTGCACAAGCCACCATCGTAGTTCTTGCTTCGTTCAAATGTGTTTTATCGAAGAGTTTCAAACTAGGACACGATAACTGTCAAGCAGTACTACTGGGTTTTCAACGTTTCTCAAGCAGATATCAGTTAGAGATCAAACTTGTTATGCTGAACGAACTCTTAACTGGAGTAAATGTTTTAAGCTAGAAATACTTTTTTTTGGTTGTTTAGATACTTACTACTTATGTGATCATTTTAACTCATACATTCTTAAATGTTTCAACAACTAAACTGAGAAAATTGTAAGCTGGTTTATCGCAGCAAATAAATGCATAGAAAGTACTCTGTCTAGACTACAGTCTCAACAAAAAACCCAGTTAGAAACACAGAAAGGATAGGCGAAATTTCACTCATTCAGCAGGTGGACAGATTATAAGTTCAAATGAAAGATGAATAGAAAGAAATCAGAAATATATCATCGGTTATGTCCAGATCCTCCAAGGATTTTGTGTGGGTCCATTTGTGCCTGTCTCCTCGTTGCCCGCCGCTGTCTGTGGCATTATCCAATCTACTGTAATCAGGAAAATCATTGGAGATAGTAAGCAGCCAGCCAGCTTGTTTTACTCCCGTCTTCACTTCAAAGGATTCCGTGAGTTCCTCATTGTAGATTATTTGACCAACCTTAAATTCTTTTCCAAACAGCTAATATTTCTCAAGGAGAAACACGATTGTTTTTTCATGAGTAACACGTGTCCTAGCCATCTCAACCAGATCACCTTTGAGATCTCATGGACTGATTCGCCTTGCCTTCTTAACTCTATGCCTAATCTCATTATTACTCACCATATTATTTATACTATCTAACCTTGAGAAACAGAACGCAAACGCCTATGATTAAAGACAGCTAGCCTCTTCAAGTTTCTCACTGCCCTTTAACTGTCATCGATTCAGTTTTCTTTAGAAAACTGTAGAAAACGAAGAAAAAAATTCATTAACAGTTACACATATATTCATACATATAAGCGTCTAAGAATAGTAATTAAAGGGCTATCCAACTTTGCTATAAATTTCAGCTACAAAATGAAAACAAATCTTGGGTTGATTTTTGAACTTAATATTCAGTGGTATGATAATTTATTAACTTCAGTAAAATTATAATTCATCATGAATAAGTAACTTATATATCGATAACAAAGTTCAATGAATGCATTGAAGTATTTAATGAACTCATCGGTTAAACACTTAATATGTATATATCTTAAATATTTGACTGATAAACTATGGAATTGTAAGCGCCTAGAACTATAAACTGTTATAATAGTTATTAGCAAAACTATCTGTTTAATTGGTGGATGGTGACTAGCAGTGGAATCCAGGATACCGCGCGTTTCGTCTTATTTGGGACTCGTCAACTAGCTGGATTTACCTGCATTCCTCAGTGAGTAGTGATGTTCCCAACGAGGTTCAAACCCAGTACCCATAGTTTCAAATGCACAAAAGGTGGCTGTCGTGGCCACTGAGTTCGAACCTCGGTGGGAACATCATCATTCACTGCGGAATGCAGGTAAATCCAGCTAGTTGACGAGTCCCGAATAGGACGAAATGCGCATCCTGGCTGGATTCCACTGCTAGTCACCATCCATCACTTAACTTCTAATTAGATGCCCAAACATTGTCGAAGCATGTGCACAAGAAGTTGACATGTCAACCTGAGACGGAGCACTTTGGGGTTGAATCAATCGACGCGAAAATCTAAAATTAAATTAAACTATCTATTTTTCTGCATTCATAAATTCTGTAGGATCATTAGATTGAAACACACACACACACAAATACACATCAATAAGTTGATGACAAGTTAATATTAAGTCAAAAAAGGAAAGATGTCGATCTCAATGGTCAGTACAATTGTCATGATAGAGATAAGAAATTATCACTTCAAGGATTCACACACAAAGCATATTTATTCGCCAGATAGAATTACTCAGCTGGAAGCTTACTGATAACTGGGTTTTCTTTTAGCGTTAAAATCTATTTAACATTTTACACTTCCATGCCTCAGAAGCACGTCCAATTTTCATTACTTCTCCTAATCGTCTTCACTGTGGATACTAAATGAAATAAAAACAAAGCAACTAACTGGAAGGATGTGTGTGTGTGTGTGTAAGTAAGATCAAAAACCACTATCTAACTGTTCAAACTTTGGTGGCTTCCATTAGAATGCAGCATAATCGATGAAAGATGAATTTTCCAGACTAATGAGATAAAGCTTGGGTGGCTTGCCTTCTTCATTTAAAGTGCTGCAAGATTATTCACACGCTAGTTCTCTCCTAAATGTTCGGTGACAGCATTCGAGTACACCTGATGGCGATAAAGTCGAGACGTCCTACAATCGGAAATTTGTAACTTATCAGTAATCACTGTGGTTACTGATACAATAATAATAATAGACTTGTTATGAGTAAACGATTAATATGATATACAGAGTTATGAGCCTAGTTCATTGCATAATACTCTCTCGTCATCCAGAATCTCCAAGTTAAGGAGCAGTCCACAGTACATCACGTGACATGATGCTGTTCGATATAAAGAATAAATGTAGTACCTTATAGAATTTCTCTTTCGTCACCAAGAAATGCCCAGAAACCGGTTGAAAGCCTATCAAAAGTATGCGTGAGTACATTTGGCGACCCACGGACATAGGTTAATTAAGTGGTTAAAAAGAAAAGATATAGATAAGAACTTCATGCACTTTATTGGATAGAAACTCAGGTATCCCAATGATGTAAGCACACCTTTAGTATATGTGTAGTACTGTGACTTAGACAAATCCTTTTTTACATTTTACATGCCATTCTGTGGTGAGATCTGGCTGCTAGCCGAAATTGGTAGATAGTAATTTACGTCACTGTTTACGTCCTAAATATTAGTCGTGAGAAAAATGTGAACAAAGAATGATTCAACAACCAACCACAGGAGGTTCTGCGTAGGCGCATACAATTTGCAGATAGATAATCTGAACTTCAAGAAACAGCCAAAAAGAGATAAAAGATTAACGTTCAATGAAAAACCACCAATCAGAAGACTGTGTTTGTTTGCTTAAAATATTCTATAATAATGTACATGAAAATATATAAATATATGTTGATTTCATAAATAAACGATCTGTTTCCTAGCCCTTGTCTTCTAATGTTACAATTCTAGCATCTATTTCGCTTTTTTGGAAGAGTTGTTC